AAAGAAAAAGTAACCATATTTTCAACATATTATCATGCATTCTGAAGAATCTTTGGAATTTAGATAAGTCGATGATTCTGAATGTTTCTGACAGATTGTTCTATTTTTATGTAGGTGCAGCAGGTGGCTATGATGGGCAGCAGTACCTTAAAAATCGCGGAAAAGGAGCAACCATTCGAGGAACGTTTCATTTAACCAAAGGTTTGTATACGATTCCCAAATAAAAATCACATTAGTGGGTACCGACGGGGACTCAGTTCACCGTCCAACTGACATTCCCTTTTAAGGTAAAGCAGTTGACAGTCCAGTCCCTTTTCGTGTAAAGTAGAACCATTCCACATAGCAAGTGATTACACACGACTTCATGATGTACCATGACGGTAGTGGTGTGTTTTTTTTTTGGGGGGGGGGGTCACACTGTCCCATGGAAAAATATAAGACGCACTATTAATGTAAATGTTATTTTACGAAATCCCGATAAATCCCGAATGTCGCCATTGTCAGAGAGGAGTATCCCCCAATAACCGAACTCCAAGGCATGGTCATCTGTTTTCCACCAGTAAAACAGTCATACACACAAGGCCCGTTTATTTTATTCGACTACCCTGATATACCTATAATTAAAACTACGATTTTAATATCCGCACGAAGAGAAATTATCGTACTGTATTTCGTACTCAAGCAAAAAACGTCATCATATCGCTATCGTATGACACATAGCCAAGGTATGAATTGCCATTGTAATCTTGGGAGTAATTGAAATGTCTTCTACCATACCATATATGGTAAGATACTAGCCCATTTTTGTCTCACATATGAGAACACAGAAACAAACTTGACAGTTTTAGAAACTAACCCAATCACATCTACATTTTTTTGGACTTAGTGCTCGTTTGGGCTGCGAAGGATTCTTGCTGCGTGACGTAAATAACCCCTGACCTCGACAATGTGGGTCACCGTTATATGTTCTTATCTGAAGGGCGTGTCGACTACGTATAATCTGCCTTTTAACTATACTAACCAATAATTAATCGGCTTACCATTAATCGGTTTTCGATTACCGTTCGCAGTGTTACGTGAATTTCTTTTGGGGTTGATCAATGCACAGACAACTCGTTAACAGTCTTATTGAAAATAAACCGAGGAAAAAACATAGGAAATAGAAAAATCAGTATCCTAAAAAAAACAAGCACACACACCGGAAGCACGCATTCCGCGTGTTCTTTACGTAAACATTTCGTAAAGAATGGGATTGTTGTCACCTGACATTCAAACGTATACTACATGCTGTTGTGCACATACACAGTGTAACCAGTCACGTGGTCAGGTGTGATCTGGTTGCGTGAACGTACGTGTTTTCAAGTTTATGTATGTACTGATGCGATTTGACGAGTCCGCACCGCTGAGGACGAGTTCAATCACTTGTACTACACGATCAGTAATAGACAATTAGGTAATATGATACAACATTTAGGGATAATTTCAGGTTTAATAATTGAAAACATATCGTATTACGGAAAAACAATATCCTTTATATTTTTCCGCCTTCAAGTTCAGTAGTTTTTTCAAACGGGAAATGCGTTGCGCGACCGGGATGTTCCGGCGGAGTGCATGGAATAGGGCTATTAAAGCGCTTCCACGTTTTGTTCATGATCTTTGCTCCCCATGATAAGAACTGCTGTAAAATTGCCAAATAATAGTAAAAAATGAAGGACATATTTATGTGTTGATTCAGGTGTACGTCCATGTAAATCGTGTAAACGTGGCGGCATTATAAACGATGGTAATTATTGTAGTATACCCCGATTCGTCGTTGGCGTTGGAAGGTTCCAAGGACGCCGTAAATTGGAAGATTAAGACAAACTTGTGTCCTAGTGCAAGATTTCTCGTCCCGTTAAAAAGAAGACATTTTGGTTATTCATCTTATTTATTTATTTATTTATTTATTTATTGACAATTGAACCAATAAATGGTCTGTGTTTAAACATTAGTTTGATGATTATCGTATGAACTATATGTTGGCAACAAAACAAAACAAGTTGAGGGGTACAGGACCAGTTTCTCTCGGTCGATAGGTCTGTGCACGCGTTCTAACGACTGATCAAATTTTGTATTAATATTTTTTTTATTAAAGTGAACATTTTCGTTTATTTCGACAGGAACCGAGTTGCACATTTTGGTAGGACAGGAAAGTTTGAATGGTGAGAGCAACCTATCAAGTGGCGGCGGCGGCGGTACATTTGTCACGCTAGAAGACGACACTGCTCTCGTTATCGCCGGTGGTGGCGGAGGTACTTTCTGGATGTCATCGCGGTCGGACTTGTGCGACGGCAGCAAATCCACGACTGGTAACCCTGGAGGAGGGCGTGGTTTCCCCGGTGGAGAAAATGGGAACGGCGCCCCCTTGGTTGATTATAAATATTCTGGAGGTGGCGGGGGAGGTTTGTTGACGAGAGGGGGCGGGTGGCGTAATAACGACGGTAAGCACGGTGGACACGCTTTCATCCAAGGAGGATTAGGCGGCGAGGGCGGAAACCGAAACTTGGACGGCGGGTTTGGCGGTGGTGGAGGCACTCGTTCCGGTGGGGGAGGACCTGGCGGTGGTGGCGGTTACTCTGGAGGGGGCTCCGGTGATTATTACACCGGCAGTTGTGCCGGTGGGGGAGCTTCATTTAACAGCGGCCGTACTAAGTATGAGCAAAGTGGAAACAACAATGGCTCTGGTTACGTCATCATTACGAAAATGTCCCATTCAAGAAGTCGTCCTATTATGTTGGACGTCAGAGGGAAATAATGTTGAGATTTTGAAATTCGAAATATATTCGCCTTTAGTTTTAAACAGGCGACAAATAACCATGCCCCGAGTCAGGCGTCACGGTGAAGTTTTTTGTTTTACCTCTATGTGCGAACAAATGGAACAAACAATACACAAAGTGCACCATTAACGGCCACGTCAAGTTCCTGACTTTGCGATCCTTTTCTTTTTGGAATTGGTGACGCTCGGAGTTCATAAAAAGCGGTTTTTTT